TCAGCGCGCACAAAATCGCCTCTGAAGAAACCCATGTCCTGTTCAAGGTCCCTCCTGAGGCTGGCCTTACCACCTAGATAATGGGCCTTGTCTCTCGCAGTGAGCAAGTTCGGCTTCGGCACTTGCGCCTGCAACTCGACTCCAGCTGCCACCACCTCTTTTTTGACGCCAGACTGTTCGCCAAAACGCTGGAGGCCAACACCGTCGACTACCTTTGGAAAAGCAACCGGCGGGGCAGCAGCACGCACTGCACACATGGGTCTCATCATGACCACTTGGAGCATCAGAGTGACAACAACACGACCTGGGAACACGCGTTGCTCAGACATTATTGGCGCTGACGTACATGTGCCCACGTTTAGTGCACGGGCCATGCGATTAAAAAAACTCATAAGCAGGAGTATGAACCTCATGGGGATCCCCCTTGCGCTGCGCGGCAGCAGTCTGTTGGTGGTGACGAATGAGCTCCATGGCCTTTTTGAAATCCACCAGCACCGTCCCCGACACCATCCCATGGCCATGAACCATGAGCCTACTCGGCCCGCGCTGCTGGCACCAAGACGGACTTGTCACATGCCTTGTCTTTGGTTCCCCACTGGAACCCCCTAAATTTCTTACTCTGCCACACCTGAATATCATGCTGTCGTAATCGGCACAAGACCCGAGCAAGGATGTGCAAGATTGCAACGGGTCGAAACCCTCCTGGCCTCGTGGACAAGAAAAGCCTTGTACCAGATAACTGGCAATTAACTCGCAGCTCAATATGATGCAGGACCTCTGCCAACGCCTCGAGAGCTGCATCACCCAGAAACAACACATGGCGAGGGTTCACACAATCATATCCCTGGCCCGTGGGGGCTTGAAAGATCCAACAACACGTGCAAACTGAGCTGCATCGGGTCTGGGTGGTGGTTCGAAGATGGAGAGGTCGAGCCAAGACAAGGGAGGGTGCGCCTCCGAGACGCACCACTAAGCCTCCCAATCCTTGCACACCTCCTGAATTTGCTCAACCGAACCCATAGGTACGTGATCTACCGTGGCCTCATCAGGGGTGCAACCTGCAGGGACCTTCGCAAAACTGTACAAAACTGAGGCCACTTGCTCATTAGAGTGCTTCTGCACCCGAGCCTCCCAGCCTCTCTCCTTCTCACGCTGGCTGGCTTGCGCGAGTTGGTCGGCCTTGCTCTGAGCAACGACCTTCATCATGTCAGTCTCGGCTGGTCCGATATCGGGGTCTTGCACAAGCTTGGCAAAACAAAAATTCAGGCCGCCGTGAGCCGGAGCTTATGGAGGCGCCGCCGATGTGAGACATCGTCCCTGCCTCCACAGAAGACGACCCTGTCCATTAGTGACTGAGCCATAAACCTCCGCCAGACGGCCTCGGAACTGAGCTTCGGGTAGGGGACTGCACAAGGCTGCTACGGCACAACAGACTTGACCTTGGGAGGCGAGCTGCGGCAAGCATACTTCTCGCAATAGGCAGGGCTCACATCGAAGATCTTGATCCGCTTCTGCTCGGCCGCGCTCACGAACTTCTCCCACGCATCCTGGATGCTGGTGTTGGGGCTCTTCGCACTCTCGGTGCTCCACCGCGTCCTCCGCCTCCTCCTCCTGCTCCTCCTCTCCCTCCTCAGTACTCGTCGTCTTCGTCGTCGTTGTCTTGAAGGTCGGCGGCGCTGGCCGTGAGGCCTTCACAAAAAGGCCCTGCATCATGCCCCATCGCTCATGCATCGGCGATATGGCATGTGGCCCCATGAGACCACCAAGACGGAGGCAAATGGAAGTCTCTGGAGGTCTCCCAAAAGTTCTGGAGGCCAGAAAAGAAGCGACAATGGAAAACCTCATCCCTCCTCCCCGGCGGCCTCCAACCCAATTTGAGAGGTCCGGAGATGAGGATGGCGGAGACGCAAATGGGCCCGCAACCCTGGGCCTGGGGCTGGGTGGTGAAGCGCGGGCGTTCCTCCCGTGCGCCTCGGCTGCACCAGCGGCGCCCGCCCCAACTGCGCCGCCGCAGCCCGCTGCTTGCCGCGCCTGTTTTCTTGTTTCCGTTGGCGCCGTAACGGGTAGGGGGGACGTTGGAGCAAAGAGTCTGTTTTTCTTTGACTCGGGCAAGTTCACAAGCGTGGGATGTGTGCGTGTTTGCATGTGTGTGTGCGTGTGTCTGTACGTGTGTGCGTGTGTGTGTATGTATGTGTGTGTGCGTGTATGTGTGTGTGGGGGGGGACCGAAAGGAAGTCATAGCCAGCCTGGGCCCAAAACAATTTCTAGCCAAACATGTGGTGCGATCCAGATGTTGCAGTCCATCCGTTGCAATATGAGGTGTGCAATCTATATGGTGCAACGTACGCGGAGCAATTTACGTGGTGCGCAGCATACGTGGTGCAATACATGCAACATGTGTGGGGTGCAACATGTGCGGTGCGATCTGTGTGTTGCAATCGATGTGTTGCAATAGGTGGTCAGTTACCTGAATGGTGCAACAAATGTGGTGCAATGTGAGTTTGCAACCTGTGGTTTGCAATTTGTTTGACCCATGAACTGACACATCCCATGCTTTTGCAAACATCCCACCCACCCACCCGCAACTTGGTTTGCAAAACCCATGCGGTGGCGATTGCGATACATGCTCGTCTTCGCGTCGGTGATGAACGTTGTGGAAAGGGTTCGACATGCGCGCGCGGCCGACGCGCGAGAGTGGCCCGCATGGCAAGGGCGTGCGACTGTTGTCGGCATGCGGCGCCAAGAGGCCCGTTTGGCAGAATTCCATGGGGATGTTGGAACACCTTTGGTTTCCCTAAGAATTCGCAAGAGCAATCGCGCAATATTTTTCCAAAAACTGAGGTTGCGACACTTGTTGCATTTGATTGCTGTTTGTTGTTTCTAGCAGTCGGTATTGAAATCGCTACGACACCGAAGGTGTCTGACGGATGTCGGCATGCGCGCGCGACGACGCGCGCGTGCGCACTTCGTCCCACCTGTTGCAAGGGATTCTGGCGACGGCACGCGCGCAAAGGCCTTCGAATGATTTCGACATGCGCGCGCGAAGCCCAATTGGTGGCATGGTCTGCACATGTTAACGAACCTGTTGTTTTCTCAAGAATTCGCGGGAGAACGCGCGCGCACATTGGTTTTGAACATCCGCTTTGCGAAACCTGGTGCTTATATACATATATATATGTGTGTGTGTGTGTATGATTGTGTGTTTGGGCACTCGATTTTGAAAGCCATTGTGTTAACGGATTTCGGCATTCGTGCCCGACGACGCGCGCGAGTGCACGTTGCCATATTTTGTGCAAGGGGCTCTTGGAGACGGATGGTTATTGACAAACAAGTGTGCGCGCATAGAACTTGTTGCAAAGGGTGGCGGGGGGTGCATACCCGCTGGGCTGGGATGGTATGGATTCAGGTTTAGGGTGGGCGATAGGCCAGACTCAGCTGAAAACTCTGTGTTCGAAAAGAGACTTGGCGTTCGCTTCCAAGCGCGTGGCCACCTCCCATGCTTGCGAACTCATCCCGCCCACGCACCCGGAGTCTGGTTTGCAAAACACATGCGGCGGCGATTGCGATGGCTGCTTGGTGCTGGCTGGCGCATCGTTGCGGCCGCGCTAGAAATAGCCCACGCACGCTCGCATGCACAGTAGTCAGCTAATTTTGCGCGACCGACGCAACCGCGGTGTCGCTGACCGCTGGGCACTTCCAGGCGCGTCTCGCAAACCCCGCGACGCGCTGGCACTTCAATGCGAGTCGGTTGCTTGAGCGGGCTCGGCTTCATTGCGACGTCGACAACGGCAGACACGATGATGGTAGTAACGATGATGGCGACGATGATGACCATGACGAAGGCAAGGCCAATGACGGCGCCGATGCTGATCACGCCATTGACGATGACGATTTGCTCGCGTCGGTGCTGAAGGTTTCGGCAGGATTTCGACATGCGCGTACGGCCGACGCGCACGAGTGGCCCGCATGGTATTACTTGACGCAGATCGTCACCCCCCCCAGCACGCGCGCAAAAAGGGTTCGAATGATTTGGACATGCGGTGCAAGGTTCCCGTTCGGTCGAACTTGATGAAGGTGTTGAACACTTCTGGTGCTCTTCAATACTCGCAAGAGCGCGCGCAGACCGTATTGGAAAGCCGATGTTGCAAAACCACGAGCTATATACGTTTTCAGGGCACTCTATGCTGAACTCCTAACGGCACCTGAGATGTTTGACGGACTTCGGCATGCAGGCGCGACGGCGTGCGCGTGTGCACTGCGACCCTGATGTGAAGAGGGACTTATGGGAATGGGTGATTTTTGATAAACGAGCGCGCGCGCGTAATTTTGTTTGCAAGGAGTGTGGGGGGTCGATACCAGCCTGGCTGGGATGCTATGAGTTCATATGTGGAACGAACGATGGGGCAATGCAGAAAAGGCAGGCGGATAATCCCAGTGGGAGGTGGTGTATTCTTTCCTTTCTCTGGGAATAAGAATCGAATGGCGGCGACGCGACGAGCGGAGGTGGCGGCGACGGCGACAATATAGCCGCCCGGCCGTCAGACAGGCCCAGTCACGGGCGGCGTCGAGGCGGCGACGGGGCGGTGACGGCGACCACGTAACCGCCAGACCGAAGACACGGCCCTTACGACGCGCGGCGACGAGGTGGCGTCGGGGCGGCGACGGCGGCCACATAGCCGCCAGACCGAAGACACGGCCCAGTTCCTTTGAACAGGAGTGAGAGCCGCTCAGTGCAATAACTGTCTGGGGAATCTGGACTTCACGCAAGTCGGGTTTTGCCTTGCAAACCTTTTCGTTCCAGCGTTATTCGACAAGGCGGCGGAAGGGGGCAGGGGAAACACCACGCAAGTCAACTCGCCCGAGTCCAAGGAAGAGCAGCGTCGAAGAGGGGGCAGGCACAGGCGGCACTCTGCACCGAGCGCGGCGGGATGAACTTTTGCAAGGTGCATTCGGCAGAGTCCACGGTGAGAGAAGCGAATTTGCAGCGGCGGAGCCGGGCCCTAGTTCGCACCCAGGTCCAGGATCGCTCCCTCGGCCGTGGCGGCCTCCTCCTCGGGCTCCCTCGGCGCGGCGCCGTCGTCGGAGGCCTGGCCCTTGCCGGCCGCGTGCGCGGCGGGGCAGCGGCTGGCGGCCTTGTCCGCCTGCGGCGCCGCGCCCTCCGGGGCGGCTCCTCCGCCGGGGTCCGAGGACGACTGCGACACTGTCGACTCGAACTCCACCTGAGCGAAGAACTTGCCGTCGCTCGGACGTCCATTTTCCGTGCATGTTTCGGTTTCGTGGGTGTTGTTTTTTGCTCGATGGTCCAGGACGGTCCTCGATGGTTCTCGCCGAAACAAAAAAACGTCCGAGCGATGCCAAGGGAAAGGAATCGGGTGTTACGCAAGCTGGGCATGGCGACCTCACGCGGTGGCTTACGCGGTGGCTCACGCGGGCCACCGGCGCGGGACGCCACAGCGGAAACAATGGCGCTTTGGTGAGACCTCACGCGGGCAGCTTGTGCGCTCATATCCATGCAAGCGACCCCGCTGTTCTGCGTCCCTCGCCTTGCCGTCGATGGGCGAGGCGGAGATGTCGCCTACCGGCGTCCTGCGCGGTCCCGGGCTGCCCGCACCGCCGATGCCGTCGCTGAGGCCGACGGCCCTGGATGGCGTCCCAGCGGGGCTGTCGTCGGCGCCGACAGGGGCGCCGCGCACAGGGGACCTCGGCGTCTGGCTGGCCGTACGCTCGCTGGGGCCGCTGCCCTCGGCGGCCCCCGGCGGCACTTCGGCGCAGGGCGCTGCGGCGCTTGGCGCAGGCGCGCCGTGAGGAGCTCGGCGGCCGCCCGCCGGGTGCTCGCCGCGGACGGGCGGCGGAGGGGCCCCCGCCGCAGGCCGGGCGGGCGGCGCGCCGCACGCCACAGGGGCGCCCAGGCGCCTGGCCAGGCACCGTGGCGGCGGGGAGAAGGCCGCGAAGCCAGTCAGCGGCCCTAGAACCACCGTCCCCGGGGTCGACTGGCTCGCCAGGTGGTCCCAGCTGATGTCCTGCCTGCCCAAGCAGGACCTGGGCGCCCTCGGCGTCGAGGCTGGAGGCGGCTGGCTCCGCGGGCAGGGCGAGCGCAGCGAGCCGCCGTACGCGATGGCGGAGTGCGACGGCGCGTCTTCGGCGACCGCCGGCGGCGCCAGCGTGGGCGGCGCCCCCAGGTGCGGGGGCACCGAGGTCGCCATCACGGCCGCCGTGGCGGTCCTCGCCACTGCGGCCGTGGCCACCGCGGCCAGCGCTCCCAGCCGGTCGTGCCCAGCGGCCCCTGCCTCGGGCGGGCTGGGGCGGCCTGCCGCGTGGAGGCTTGGCTGTGACGCCGTGTGCAGCGAGCCGCTGACCACGACGGACCCGCCCGCCGCAACTCCCAGCATGGGCCGAGGTCTGGAGTTCTCCCAGGAGGCGGGACTGGCGGCCAGCACCTCTCTGCTGCACGCGCGCGAAGACACCCTGGGGCTGGGCGCCAGCGTCCCTGGCGGGACGCCCAAGGAGCCCCGCGACTTCAGAGGTGACGCCGCCACCGACGCGGGTTCGGTCAGGCCCGTCACGCCAGACCGCGGCGTCGCGGCTGCCCGGGCGGTCGTCAGGGGCGAGGTGGCGCCGCGGGGCGACGCGCACAGCTGCGCGGCCGCGCCCAGCAGGGAGACCACAGAGGCGGGGGCCAACGGCTGCTGCAGAGGCGGGGCCGCGTGCACCGTGCCCACGTCAGTCTCCAGGCCGAGCGACGCCCAAGGCGGCTGAGGGGCCGGCGGCAAGGATGCGATTCTTCGATCCCCTCGGGGCGCCTCCGCGAGGGCCGGCCTGAAACGTTGCACCGACGGGTGCCTTGGCGCCGCGCCAGCCGATTGGCCGGGGAGCCCTGCCGCCGGGCGGAACATCTCACTGTCCGCCGCGAGCAGGCTCTGGTCGGCCGCCAACCTCGCCGCGCTCAGCGGCGGCCCGGGCGGCGGCGCGCCAGCCAGCTGCGCGGCTGTGGCCGCCATGGCCGCCACCGCCGTTTGCCGCAAGGACGCGAGGCTGGGCGAAGGCCGCCGCGGCGTCTGCCACGGCGGCGACCGCGGCGTCGCGACGCACGCCGAGCCGCCGCCCGTCGGCGCCGCGTGGGAGCTGGGCAGGACGCGCGCCGAGCCGCCGGGCGGGGCCGCGCAAGAGCCCGGCGCGACGCAGACCGAGCCGCCACGGGGCGGCGCCCCGTGGGAGCAGGGCAGCAGCCACCACGGCGACACGCCGACGGCCGCCGCTGCGGGCGCCCAGGCCGCCGCCGGCGGCGCCGCGGGCACGGCCCGCGGCTCGGCGGCGGCCGCGCCAGGCGGTGCGTTGGCCGACCCGCGGCGAGCCGTGGCGGGCGCGGGGGCGCCACCGCCGGGGGCGGCGCAGGCGGGCGCCGCCGCGGCCTGGGTGTGCACCGCGGCGGCCCCGGGAGCCTCCATGCCAGCCGCCGTGCCCACTGCCAGGCCCCCCCGCGTCGCGCAGCCAGGCCGTGCCCCCCCGCGCTCCAGGCGAGGCGGCGCCCCCCGCGGGCCTCGAAGGCTCGCGCCAAAATGGCTACCGGACGGGGGGAGCAGCGCGTCTGCCATGTGATGGACACTCCAGAATGTGTCTCTTCCACTCTTGGAGACCTTTTTTGTTGAATCGGCGATAACCCGGGTTATCCCGGGGGGGAGGAGGGGGCCAGCCGACAACCTAACCCTCGCGGCGCTGTGGGCAGCCCTGCATATGCCCGCGCCCCCCCCCCTCGCGCGGACCTGCACAACCCGCAAGGTTAGGCTATCCTGGGGGGGAAAAGGGGGGCAAGCCCGATAACCCAGGTTATCGCCCGACCCCCAAATTATCCCGGCAAAGCAACCTAACAGCGATGTGTATAAGCATATCTGGAAGCATTCCCCTTAAGATTCAGGTGAGAATCTGTAGAATTCTGCTGTTCTCGCAGTCGCAGTCGCATTCGCAATGACAGTCGCAGTGGCAACGGCCTTAGGATCCAATGGAATCTTGAGGATTCCTAGGGATTCCTATGGTATCCTTAGGCATCCTTAGGAATCCATAGGAATCCTTAGGAAACCTTAGGAATCCTCAGGAATCCTGATTCCTAGGGATTCCTAAGGATTCCTGAGGAATCCTAAGGATTCCTAAGGATTCCTGAGGATGCTTAACTATGCCTACGGATTCCTAAGGATTCCTATGGATTCCTACGGATGCCTCAGCCTGCCTGAGTTTCAGCCTCAGCCTCAGCCTGCCTCGGCCTGCATCAGCCTCAGCCTCAGCCTCAGCCTGCCTCGGCCTCAGCCTCAGCCTCAGCCTGCCTCAGCCTCAGCCTCAGCCTCAGCCTGCCTCGGCCTCAGCCTGCGCCAGCCTCAGCCTCAGCCTGCCTCAGCCTCAGCCTGCCTCAGCCTCAGCCTCAGCCTCAGCCTCAGCCTCAGCCTCAGCCTCAGCCTGCCTCGGCTTGCCTCAGCCTCAGCCTCAGCCTGCCTCGGCCTCAGCCTGCCTCGGCCTCAGCCTGCCTCAGCCTCCCCCTCCTCCTCCCCCCCCTTCCCCCCCCATTCAGCCTCACCTTGTCTCAGCTTCGGCCTGCCTCGGCCTCATCCTCATCCTCAGCCTCAGTCTCAGCCTCAGCCTGTCTCGAGCCTCAGCCTCAGCCTGCCTCAGCCTCAGCGTCAGAGCCTCTCAGCCTCAGCCTGCATCAGCCTCAGCCTCAGCCTCAGCGTGCCTCAGCCTCAGTCTCAGCCTGCCTCAGCTTCAGCCTGCCTCAGCCTCAGCCTCAGCCTGCCTCGGCCTCAGCCTGCGCCAGCCTCAGACTTAGCCTGCCTCAGCCTCAGCCTGCCTCAGCCTCAGCCTCAACCTGCCTCGGCGTGCCTCAGCCTCAGCCTCAGCCTGCCTCGGCCTCAGCCTGCCTCAGCTCGGGCATTCAAAATATGGCACAGGACTGGTGTTTTGGGAACACGAAGATCACGAAATGGCCCACAGTTGGCTCCGGGCAATCAAAATATGGTACAGGACAAATGTTCTGGGAACACGAAGAACACGAAGTGGCCTACTGTTGGCTCTGGGCATTCAAAATGTGGCCTGGGAATGGTGTTCTGGGAACACGAAGAACACGAAGTGGCCCACAGTTGGCTCCGGGCATTCAGAATGTGGCCTGGGAGTGGTTTTCTGGGAACACGAAGAACACGAAGTGGCCTACTGCTGGCTCTGGGCATTGAAAATGTGGCCTGGGACTGGTGTTCTGGGAGTGGTGTTCACTTGGCTCCGGGCACTCAATACGTTGCTCCTGGCAATCAAAATGGGGAGTCCCCGGTTTTCCCCGGCATCCCCCGGGTCCTGCCCAGGCCCCCCTGGGGAATCAGGATGCTCTCTTTTGACCCCACTAGAAACCTATCAGTCTTCGCTGCTAGGTAAAAGAATCTCTTGGTAGTTCCTTGCGCCATGTCGCACCACTGGCTAGCCGTACCCAGGCGATTGTCGAACGTCATATTTTGGGGACGCGTGGCCGTGCTTGCGATAACTGCCGACTCCGGAGGCACGGTGCTGGACACGACCCTCAACAACCAGACAAAGGCTGACGAGCGAGCCAATCCGTGTAAAGTTGTGATGAATGATCTCGCCGGATAACTTTGCGGAGGGGATCGAGCTGCCAACACCAACGGTCCACACAATATCATGTATGAGTAAGGAGCTAGCTGATGCGTCCAGTTCTTTGGGCACCCGAAGACAGGCCAGCACGCAGATGATTGCACAATGTTCGCCCCATACTGGTGAAATATGTGTGGTGGACAAGGAGGTGCAGACACCCCTCGTTCCGCGTCGCTGGATCCAGACATGAGGTGCAAGGTCACGGGCCCCTCAAATGACGCAGCCGCTCTAGATTATTGTTCAAATTGCGTTCGGGTTTTGTTTTGGGACGCTTCTTTCTGGGATAAGCCTGAACAATATA